AAGACCCGCCTGCCGGGCCCCGGTTTCCGTCTTTGGCTCTTCCCCCTGAGCCGCCATGTTGGGCCCCCGTTCCGTCTAGGTTCCACCCCAGCGCCTGCTGCGGCCCCCGTTCGTCTCCAGGTAACCACCCCGCTCGGTGTCGCTCAGCCTTGAAGTCCCCCGGTTCGTACTCCCGCTTCCGTGACCGTCCTTCTCAGTCCGCCGGCTCCCACTCCTGCGCGTGTCAGCCCCCGGCCCGGGCTCCGCTCCTGGCGCCGTCCTTCTCAGTCACCCGGCCCGGGCTCCCGCTTCTGGCGCCGAGAAAGTCCCCGGCCGGAGCTCCCGCTTTCGGTGTCGTGAGTCCCCCGGCCCGAGCTCCCGCTTCCTTGGCGCCGAGAGTACCCCGGCCGCGAGCTCCCGCTCTGGTGACGGAAGTCCCCTCGGCCCGAACTCCGCTTCTGGTGCTGTCCGAGGCCTCGGCCGTCTTGGGCCACAGCGCGCTTTGTCCTTGGCCTCGCCACCCTGTCCGAAGCCGTCCTAGGGGGGTACCTTCTCCTGGTCTTCAACCGTCCTGGGGGCCGCTTGCCACTACCGACCCCGGAGGTTTGCCTTGTCCTGTTCACCCCAACCGTCCTGGGGGCCGGCTTCTCAACAGCCGCCCTGGGGGTCTCCTTGTCCTGTATCCTAACCGGTCCTGGGGCCGTCCTCTCATCAGCCGCGCTGGAGGGTTTGCCCTGACCTGTACCCTCGCGACCCGTCTTGGGGTCGCCTTTGGAGGTTGCCTTGTCCTGTATCCAACCGTCCCTGGGGGCCGTTTCTCATCAGCCGCCCTGGGGGTTGCCCTGTCCCTTGTAACCTACCGTCCTGGGGGCCGTCCTCTCATCAGCGCCCTGGAGTTGCCCCTGACCTGTACTCGACCGTCCTTGGGGGTCGCTTGGAGGTTGCCTGTCACCTGTATCCTAACTGTCCTGGGGCCGTCTTTCTCATCAGCCGCCCTGGGGGTTGCCCTGTCCTGATCCCAGACGTCTGGGGGCCGTCCTCTCAATCAGCCGCGCCTGGGGTTGCCCTGTGCCCCCTCGACCGCAGCCTGCCTGTCGGTTGTCCTGTGGCCCCTCGACCGTAGCCTGCCTGTCGGTTGGCCTTCTGCTCCAACGCATGCCTGTCATGAGCCTCGGCCCAAACTGCCTGCTGGTCAGGATATCGGCTTTGACCTCAGCCTTGGTACCGACGATCCCGGCCCTTGACCCGGCCTGGTACCGACGATCCCGGCCTTTGACCCCGGCCTTTGTACGACATGTCAGCCAAGACCCCGGCCTTTGGCACCGACACACCGGCCGTGACCTTTGCCTTGTACCGACATTCCAGGCCAAGACCTTCGGCCTTTGTACCGACACACCCTGCCGAGACCTCGGCCTTTGTACCGACACCACCCGGCCGAGACCTCGCCGTTGTACGCTGACATTCAGGCCAAGACCTCGGCCTTTGTACCGACAATTCCAGGCCAAGAACAGCGGCCTTTGTAACGACACCTCGGCTTCTGCCTTGCCCCCAGGCCGTCCGCCCGAGATCCCTTCCGGGTCCTCCGCTGTGCTCCTTGGCTGTCAGCCCAAAATCCCATCCTCCGGACCCCCTCCACCCACTCTGCTTGAGGTTTTGGACTTTTGTGGTGGTTTTTTTTTTTTAGGGACGTCTGGAATCCGTCCCTTGAGGGGGGGGTTCTGTTACGATTATTGTGTCATGTCACATTTTGTATGTCTTGTTTTGGGTGTTTTGCTGTTCTCCCTGTCATGTTTTCCTCTTGGTATATTGTCTGGTCCTTTTCCCTGTGTTTTTCCTCCTGTCGTTAGTTTCCCTGGTGTGTCTGATTGTGTTCACCTGGGGCCCTTGTGTTTCTCCTCCCCTGCCCGGCTGTTTCTCGTCTTGTGATTACCCCTCCCTGTATTTAGTCTTGTCTCTTCCTGTGTTCAGTGTTGGTTCGTCTTTGTCCCTGACTAGTTCTGCGGTGAGTGTTCTGTTTTGCTATTGTACATAGATATCATAGCCTTGAAATAAAGGAAGTTTCAGTTGATATCTGCATTTGGGTCCTGCTTCTTTCACAAACCGTAACACAAGTGATGAAAGCAAGAGAAAACTCTATATGTAGTTGCACTTTGAGTGAAGAGATCATTTACCTGGTAAAACCGGTTCTTCAGTCGGACCAACAACAACTGCAATAAGCAAAAAAAATCTAAATCAGTACCAGCTCCGCTTTTTAAAAATCAGTATACAAACAAGTAGTTTATTGATCATGGGTACAGATGAGGGATACAGAATATCCCTTTATAATTCAATTTTCTGTATGATTTAATTGACTGACTTGGCACCCTAACCCTCACCTGTTTTTGTTTTCCTTTATCCCTAAACACACACATTAAATACAGTACCACCTCAACTATCCACTGTACCTGGGCAGTCAGGGGCCTGGCAGTAGGTGGTTTCCTGACGTGGACCCTGGCAGTCCCTCCCTCCGTGGGCTGGGGTAGGCTGGGTGCAGGTCTTGGAGCGGGTCTTCAGTCCCAGACCTCCACAGGACAGCGAGCAGGGGCTCCAGGGGCCCCAGGGGGACAGGCGGCCGTCAACTGGGCAATGCTCCAAGGAACAGTTCCACCTGCCATGTTCACAGCCGCTACAGGACAGAGGGGGGGAGTGAGGTGAGAGTGGTTTGAAGAGTGTGACTGGGAAAGCAGTCATCTCTATGGAAAGGTAACAGCTTCACAATTAGAAAACTCACTTCTTACTTAGTGTGTGCCTTAAAGGTCTCCTATAATGCAAAATGCACTTTTTTGATGTCTTTTATACATAAATATGTGTCCCCGGCAGAGATGGGGTCGTTACTAAAAAAAAGTAATATATTACATATTACTTTTTAAAAAAGTAATATATTACACTACTTCGTTACTGTCTACATAAAGTAACTCGTTACTTTACTCGTTACTTTACTCGCAGGGCCGGCCCGCCCCTCCCTACAGGCAGATCACGCAGACTGCGGCGCACCTACAGTGTAAGCGCGTCACAGTTTTGCCTCTGCGAGACTCCACTTGCACCCCCAATTACTATTGCATTAAGGAAGACATAACACAAGTCTTTCTTTTGATATGCTCTTTAATAAAATAGGCTACCAGCCTACCACAACAAGCTAACAGTCTGTGAAACGTAAAGACACTAATTAATGAAACCAGTTACAAGACGCAT